CTCGATCGCCAAGCGGTTCAGTGTTTTGGACTGCCTATGTACTGTCACCCAGCAAGACGATGTCATTGGCATATTACAAGTCAAGAACACTGTTCCCTGGGAGGAGTTCGACTCCACCGTCTGCTACACCTAACAAAGCATTTTGTAAAACATTCTCTATGACAAAGTTAAAAAGGAATGGGGATATAGAGCAGTCTTGTCAAACTCCACTGCAGACAACGAAGGGTGGCGAAAGCTGGCCATAGGCACTAACCCGACCAGAGTAATGACAGTACAACTCTTTGATGATCGACACATACTTCTCGAGTACTCCATTCCTCAACAAACAGTTCCATAGTGCGGTCCTGTTGACAGAGTCCAAGGCCGCGCGAATGTCTAAAAATACAATGACCGTTGGTCTTTGGTATGCATGTCAGTGCTCTAGCAGCTGTCGGAGGGTGAAGATTTGATCGATGCATCCACGACCAGCGCGAAACCCAGGCTGCTCCTCACACATAGTGTACCATCGGCGGAGAATGAACGTCAACAGCTTTGACCCTTTCGGGATTACGCTTATACCACTATGATTGGCGCAGTCATTGCGCGGGCCGTTTTGAAGATGGGGACATCAATCGATTCCCCATGACAAGAGGATCCGCACAGTGTTCCAAACTTTAGAGAACAGAACTTGCAGATCTCTAACAAGCTTGATTCCATCATCTTTAACTACAGCAGGGGGAAGACCATCAGAACCCGGCGCTTTGTGACGTCCCAGAGCTTGGATCTCCTTACGGGTTTCCGCCCCAGATGGGTCTGTTGTGACAGACCATGGGACGTGTGCCGGAATAGCTGTATGAGAAGCCGACGCTGGTGGCCAGCTATCCTGTGACTCAAAGTGCTCCGCCCAGCGTGCAAGATGTCGCTATTGATTGTGAATGGGCGAACCGTCAGCTTCGCATATCATTTCGCTCATACTCAAGGCTTCCCTACCGGTGACCCGGATGAGATGGAACAGTTTACGGGAGTTTCCCATGGAGGCAGCGCGTTTCAGCTCTGACGTGCGCTGAGTCCATCAGATCTCGCGGTCTCTCCGTAAGATTGCGTTGAGGTTACGACTCGTTGCTCGTCGTATTTCATTATGTTTGCTGCCGGTCGGGATTGATCGGCGGGCGTCGAGAAGGCATAGAGACTCCACAGAAATCCAGGGCGGCGCGGCCCGACTCGACAGACCACAAATAAGCCAGCAGAATGCAGAGCATTCTTGATAAGCCACCAGTGCTGGTTAACGCCATCGAGTGGGGTTGGTTCTAGATCTTCAGCTAGCGCATTCTGAAAGACAGTTAGACGTGCTAGTTTAGACAACTGATCACAGTCTAACCGCCGTTATGCATGCGTTTGGAACGCCCACATGGACATGGCATTTAGACATCTTGGCACAAACTAAAGCGTGGTCCGATTCGAGGGGAATGCTCCAGTACAATCGGCAGTCTTGTATGCAACCCCGCCATTTGTGGATTATAGCGATGTGGTCGATCTGCGTCCGTCTCTGACTCAAGGAGGGTGGACGCCAAGTGGCGTACCGACATTTGGAGCGCCTGGAGTTCATACCGGCGAGGAAAAGGCGGTAGTCGGAACACACCCAACAGCGGTTCCCCGTTATCCGAGCGACAGGAATAAAGTCTGACAGGACCCCCCAAGTGCGCCTCACTCGAAGTCAGTCGACCTAATCTAGCATTCATATGTCCTAAGATCACGATATCAGTCCGACTCGCTTTAAGCAAGAGATCGTGTAGGTTATGGTAAAATTTATCTTTGACTACATCTGGGATGCAGTCCGTTGGGGCATACACCGACAGGACAAACAAGTTTCGTCTACCGGGGCGACGGCAGTTTACTTTGCACAAATCCCTAAGTCTCACTGCGCGCAACCTACTGT